ACACAACCAAGCAACTCCTCAACCTGCCAAAAGGACCTGCATGGAAATATTTATACATCTTAAGGAAGCTGATCACCCTAATCACTCTCTGCTGGGACTGCAGAGGCTGTAATGATCACGGAGGAGAAACGGCTGCCTGGGAACTGCCAGGAATAGCAACGGTTTGTAAACAAATGCTGCTCCTCTTTCCCACTGCATGGGCTATGTCTGCCTCAGCATTAAGCAGTGCCAGAACAGAATTTTGGTCCACTAAGGGGGAAAATTTTATCTCTGGGTGGTCAAATATCCCTCTGGGCATGACATTCAGACTTAATCCTGTTTGGTGTAAAACTCTTTTTGGCTTTGGATCCAGTGTCACTGCACTCCTTCTGGGGCACAAGCTATCACTGTGGGTCCTTAGAGCTGTATTTTAAAGTTACCTTTCGTGTGAGGAACCTGAAGCATCCCTGAACTTTAGTGAATGCTTTGTAAATGAGTGGTGAAATGTTAGAAGAGAAGGCTCCGGGGAGACGTTATTGCAGCCTGTCAGGACTGAAAGGGGCTGATGATAAGAAAATTGGGAACAAACTTTTTATCAGGGCCTGTGGTGATAGGACAAGGGGTAGCGGTTTTAAACAGAAAGAGGGCAGATTCAGACTAGATCTAAGGAAGAATTTTTCACACAGAGGGTGGTGAAGCCCTGTCCCAGGTTGCCCAGAGAGGTGGTGGCTGCCCCATCCCTGGGAACATCCCAGGTCAGGCTGGACGGGGCTCTGAGCAACCTGCTCGAGTTGGGGATGTCCCTGCTCATGGCAGGGGCTTGGACTAGATGGCCCTGAAAGGTCCCTTCCCACCCAAACCCTTCTGTGATTCTAATTCTGATGGTGATGATTTTTTCTTAGCTTAATCTGAGAACTCATAGGAGTGCTGTGCTGCTCAAACCAGAAGTCCTCCTCACCGGCAATCTGCTCTCCAGCTGTGCCTGTGCCTCTGTGCACAGCTGGCAGGGCCCCCCCCGGGGTGCTCAGGGGGTCCTGGAGAATGAGAGACGTCCTGGGAGGGGGGAGGCTGTCAGGACCGTGCTGGCCCCGTGGTGCTCGGGACCTGCCTGCTGCCTCCTCCGCCTGCCCCAGGGAAGGAGAGACGTCTTGAACCCAAACACCCATCGACGAATTTCGTATCTGAACAATGGCGATCGCGCTTCCTGCTTGACATCACTTCACTCTCTTTTTGATAAACTCCGCAGACCGGCCTTGCCACGATTCAGTAACCAGCAGAGTAACAAACCAACGTCACACGTTATGAGGGAGTTGCAGTGAAAGTGGCACAATCTGGGTACGTTTTGCAAAGTTTAATGATTCTTTCTATTACGTTTTATTGAAAAGAAAGACTTTTAGGTGTAGTTTGCAAAGGATGCCTCTCAATGTCAAACTCTCTGCTTCCACAGCACAAACACATCCATGTTTTTCTCGACTGGCATCCCTGAGCTGGAAGATATGTACCCCTGGCTTTCCATCCCATTCAGCACAGTGTTCACCATGGCCCACCTTGGGAGCAGCACCCTCGTGTATGTGATGAAGACAGAGCCATCTCTCCACAAGCCCGTATTTTGTTTCCGCTCCACGCTGCCTGCTGTACTGCTGCTGCCACATCTTCTCCCACTGCTACTGCAAACACATGGCAGTGGTGGAGCTGGCCTGTGCCAACACCAGGTTCAGTCACATCATCGTGGTTCTCTTCATCTGGTGGGGTTGGATGTTGTCCATTGGCATCTCCTGCCTCAGAATCCTGAGGACCATGTTGACCCTGGCATCCAAGGAGGAGAGACTGAAGGTTATTTGGGACCTGCCTCTCCCAAATCTGTGCCGTCCTGGTCTTCCGCACCCTTGGGGTCCTCTCATCAGTAATCCACAGGTTTGGTTGCCACGTTGCCTCTCACACACACATCTTGATGGCTAATTTCTACCTCCAGTTCCGCCCCATGGTGTATGGTGTCAAAACCAAGCAGAGCCATAACCGGGTACTCATTGCATTTTTCTCTCAAAAGAATCTAAATTCTTGCACATCCCATCCACAGGAGCACATATGAATATACATATGACTGCATATGCAAATATCAGCCCATGATGGGCCACAAAAATTAACCCTGGACACATAACTCTGCAGCAAGTGCATGATCTGCGTTAAACAGCTCCCATCTCTTCTCCTGAATCTTTCCAAGTTTGACTTGAGAATTTTGAAACGATTGTACATATGTACTGAAAATGCATAGCATTTCGGTTCATCACTGCCTGCAGCAAGCAGCAAAGCCTGCTTGACAAACTAAGGAGGCTGCTGAATCCAGAGGTCAGCCTGTGTAGAACGGGAAAATTTTCAGTCACAGCTTTGACGTCACTGTGCTGACAGTGAGCTGGAGGTAAATAACATTCTTGTTTGAGCTCCACAGACTGCATTTCTTCTCTTCTTGTGTGTTAAGGAAACGAGCTGATGGCCTGCAGGTCCCCTCCAAAGAG